CTCTCTCTCTCTCTCTCTCTCTCTCTCTCTCTCTCTCTCTCTCTCTCTCTCTCTCTCTTTCTCTCCCCCCCTTTAGTCCCCTGGTAATCCAGGTTCCCAGTCCCCTACTGAAGCTCACTCCAATAAGAATAATAACAATATATATGACAAGCTTGGTGCTCTAGAGTCTAGCAATACTTATGAGCAGCCTGATGCTGTTGCACTTCATTTAGGTTCTATTGCATCTCCTGACCCGATGTATCAGGAACCAGGGACTCTAATGCCTCCTTCTACTCCTGGCAGTCGCTCAAGATCAAAATCACCATCTCATCTGAATTCATTGTACTCAGAACCACTTGACTCAGCTCAGGTAACACACATGTTGGTCACATGGTAGGGTTTCCCATAATATAGTGCTCAGGTTCTTACCGTCTCATGATGGTGTACTGTGTACATTGTTCAGTAGAGCTTTGTAGAAAGTCCTGATCCATGGTATATTGTCAAAAATGACTAGGAGAAAATTCTGCATTTTTATAATTTTTTCTGATGCATATACATGTTCTTATGTTGCATATCAAGTTTGAGCTAATTCTAATGAAAATTGAATTTTTTACGAATTTTTAAAGTTACTCAAAAATTGGACAAAAGTCCCTGTACTATAGTACAGGGCGTTGGCCAATTTTTGTCAAAAATGACTAGGAGAAAATTCTGCATTTTTATAATTTTTTCTAATACATATACATGTTTTTATGCTGCATATCAAGTTTGAGCTAATTCTAATGAAAATTGAATTTTTTATGAATTTTAAAAGTTACTCAAAAATTGGACAAAAGTCCCTGTACTATAGTACAGGGTCGTTGGCCAAATTTCATCAAAATTGGCTTGTAGAGAATTCTGCATTTTAATAATTTTTCCTGATACATATACATGTTCTGGTGTTGTATATCTACATGTAGTTTGAGCTCATTTCAATTAAAACTGGATTTTAAACTTGTAACACTTTTCAGCTCATGAAGCCTGCTGTTCAAGCATACTTTATCGGAAACCCTGGTCACATGATATATATATCATTATTTTTGTGTTAAAATGTAATTGTCACACAAACACTAATAAATAATTAATACTAAATTTTTGCAATTGGAGGATGCATTGAAAAAAAGATTGTGAAGATTTTACTATGAAAATGAGCCAGTTTATACTGTCACATGACTTGTGACTCTTCTCTCTAGGCCACTCCCATAAGGTCTCGTTGCTCTATTACTCCTCAGCGGTTTGACTCTCAGCCAGCAATGGACTCTGGTCTTGTGGATATGCCTGGATATACTGAAATACCAGCTAACAATAGAAAGGTATTATTTGTATTGTTTAAACTTTGATTAACCATGCCCGCTTTAGAGTACTATTAGTAAAAGAAAATCGGAAATTCGTAGCCCAAGCGTAAGAAATAAATAAAATAACACTTTCCTCTCATTCCTCTTTTTATTTCGTCTCTTAATTTCCCTTTCAGGTTCCATTACCTCCTACTCCTGTTGAAGAAGAGGTAATGAAGAACTGATTAGCTTTATTATTATTATTATTATTATTATTATTATTATTATTATTATGTTATTTTAATAGGCAAAACATCAGTATGCTGATATGGGAGAAATAAGAAAAAATAAAGTAAATAATAATTATTTTGTTTCATTCACTTTATTAGTATACAATGTACTGCTAATGTACAAATTAATAAACAACAAGTCATTATTTTCTTTTGCAATTATATCAATATTAAATGAATGCTTTATTTGCAGTAATCATCAAAACATGATAATGATGATAATGCATAAAGTTGACTGTGTTTCTGAGCTTGCACTGAACCCAATTGAGTTATTCCCTTGTGCTATATTTATGCTTTACACTATTAATTATATAAATAGACTTTACTCTAATATCTTTATGTATAAATTATAGGTTATAGCTCCACCCATTGTAATTAATGATGATGTCATATATGCTGACGTGACTAGTGTATCATGAGATTGAGAGACTCGACTGTCATCTTTTCCTTCATTCTTCTCTTTTATCTTACAATAACATACTGTATATAGCTTTGTGTTTAAAATTTTGTGGATTGATCAAAATAAGGTTTCAAGCATATATTATTACTATAACTAAGAAATTCAACGATTTTACGTGGTCTACCAACATTATTGGGCTGCGTGGGTCCCATGGGACAATGCCAATGGTTGAGGTCTGTCCACTTAGGGTGGAAATAATGTGGAAGATGCTTCTGCTCAGAGTTTTGTCACTCTCTCTCAATCTTGTTTTTATTCAGTTCAACAGTATCAAGATCAGGTGTATCACTAACTGGAGTATGTCCTAATGATACTTTTACTGTACCCATTGGAACAACACTAACTTATAAGTGCACTACTCCTTCATCATTATTTCATTTCCCTTTCATATGCAGGCTCCATTACCTCCTACCCCTTGTTGAACAAGGACTAATGAAGAACTAATTAGCTTACTGTTATTTTGGCCAAGTGTCAGTATGCTGATATGGGAGAAATAACTTCATTATAACCTCTAGCCAGAAACTTTTTGGGAACTTAACTTTCACAGCAGATTTCATGATTTTGTTGAGATTTGCGAAATTAGAATTATGTACACGTATAAACACTGAATGTAATTGATCACACTCATTTAATTATAGGTTAATGATGATGTGATTAATAATGGTTAATAATTAAATGTGCTAGCTGTATGCTGAAATGACTGGTGTATCATGAAAGACTGATTGTGACTATCTTTTCACAATATCACCTTTCGTCCTTTTCTTTTTTGTCTTATAGAGACAAAAAAGAAAAGGACGAAAGGTGAGATTGTCACTGATTGTGTTAGCCTATACTTGAGTGCATGTATTTAGAAATTTAGAATAGTCTAGACTCTAGCTATTTGGGAAAATTAATTTGCTAACTTATAATTAGAGTAGGCGGGGCTATTATGAGACACATACTTTTAATCATCTGTAACTTACAAGCTGCTTTACATTTTTGGCTCATTTTTTGCACAGAAGACTATTGATACATTTTTCATGTAATGTTGTGATTGAATTCCTTATTACACCAACCATTCCATTCCTACAGCAGTGGATACGTGAATGACCAGTTTTGGTGCATTATGGGACAGCCATGAGTTATGAGTCACCAAATAAAATTACATTATATTGCCTAACTATAATTTTATTTAATATCAGAAATATTTTAACATCATTTTAAAAACATTATGTACATTTCATACAATAAAATTCATTTGGTACACTCTCTTTAGTAGTAAATTTATGACAAGCAAAACAGTACCAATTGTCACAACTATCACAACATACCCAAAACCTCTCTTCATCTTCTTCATTAAATGCTAGCTCACAGTTATTACATTTTCCATCATCCGTGATATCTAGTTCATCAAATAAAAACCCCAATCCAACTGCAGTATCTAGTGGGCTTGGCAAAGTACATTTGCCTTTCTGCTTCTTAGCTTTCCTTTCTTTTGAAATCCTTTCTTTCTCTTCTTTCTTCTTCTGCCTTTCTATCGCTTTTCTTTCTCTTTCTTGCTTCTTTCTCTCCTTTTCTTCTTGTCGCTCCTTTGCCTTCTTCATTCTCTCCAATTTGTTTTCTTCTCTTATTATCTTTGCATCAGCCTGAGCCTGTTCTTTCTCCTTAATTTCCTTCAGAACAGAGGAGTCAGATAATTCTACAGCTTTTTGATTGACTGCTTTTC